AACTGAACCTAGGTGGATACTTGGGCGTAATTCTAACTGTAACCACATGCAGGGAGTGTTACCACATGCAGGGAGTGTTAACCACAGGCAGGGAGTGTAACCACAAACAGGGAGGGTAAACCACAGGCAGGGAGTGGCTACCACAGGCAGGGAGTGTTAACCAGAGGCAGGGAGGGTTAACCACAGGCAGGGGGGGTTTACCACAGGCAGGGAGTGGAAACCACCGGCAGGGAGTGTAACCACAGGCAGGGAGGGTAACCACAGGCAGGGGGGGTTTACCACAGGCAGGGGGGGTTAACCAAAGGCAGGGAGGGTTAAACACAGACAGGGAGTGTAAACCACAGGCAGAGAGTGTTAACCACAGGCAGGGAGTGTTTACCACAGGCAGGGAGTGTTAACCACAGGCAGGGAGTGTTAACCACAGACAGGGAGTGTAAACACAGACAGGGAGTGTAAACCACAGGCAGGGAGTGTATCCACAGGCAGGGTGTGTTTACCACAGGCAGGGAGTGTTTACCACAGGCAGGGAGTGTAAACCACAGGCAGGGAGTGTTTACCACAGGCAGGGAGTGTAAACCACCGGCAGGGAGTGTAACCACAGGCAGGAAGTGTTAACCACAGGCAGGGAGTGTAACCACAGGCAGGGAGTGTTAACCACATGCAGGGAGTGTAACCACATGCAGGGAGTGTTAACCACAGGCAGGGAGTGTAACCACAGGCAGGCATTGTAAACCATAGGCAGGGATTGTTTACCACAGGCAGGGAGTGTAAACCACAGACAGGGAGTGTTTACCACAGACAGGGAGTGTTTACCACAGACAGGGAGTGTTAACCACAGGCAGGGAGTGTACCACAGGATGGGAGTGTCAACCAAAGACAGGGAGTGTTAACCACAGACAGGGAGTGTTAACCACAGGCAGGGAGTGTTTACCATTAGGCTAAATCCGCTCATATTGATGAATAATTTGTTTGTCATTCGTAAAAAAAATATATAAGTTTAAAGACTGGTAGGCATGCTGGAGAATTGCGACTATCAAAGGGTTCATTTAATGTGTTTTTCGTTAGTTTGCCCTGTTGTTGCTGTCTTTCTACCTGTTTCATTCTATCATGTACAAATGTACCTCTCGATCCGAGTTGGCAAAGCTGATGCCCAGGTCCATCATAGCCCTAATTATAGCGATGATTGAGACACAGGTATTACTGAAGACAACGGGCTTATACAGGAGACATTCCTCCTTGGAATATCCGTCTTCGTGTATGATCCTGAAATGAGGAACCCTGGTTAATACAACAGGACGACTGTCAACAAGTTCAAATTAAAAATAGTTATATGTTTATCAATGCAACCCTGTTTGCCATAAAAACAACAGTATTAAACATATAAAGCTGTTTATACATGTGATACGACTTTCATATACGTATGATTCATAGATATATACATTTGTATGTAGATAAATACGACAAAACAACCACCATCGAGCGACATCAGGAAGAGATTAATACCAATGGATCGGGATAGTAAACGTCAGTGAGCCACATGTAGAACAACTCCGAGATGAATTAGTCACGGGAGGAGTCCCACTAATACCTTCACTGGAACATAACGGACCAGCTTGATTTCATAAAGAAATATCTATACTAAGACCATCGTGAAGTAGGGTTATTGTTTTGATCCGTCAATCCCTATATAAGCACATGACTGGGTGAAGTCGAAAGAGGGGCGACATGTTATTTTATACCGGTCATATACAGCTGTAACGCTGACGCTCTAGTTTTGTATTATATGATAGTTACACAAACATCATACATGTATTTATGAAGCTAGCATTGCGAAAGTAGGTCACAGCTTTCTAGTTTAAAATAACCTATAACAGATGTTTTGAAACAGTTTTTGATGCAATTAAAACATTTGTGTTTGCATCTGTACCTGTATCTGTCTTCAAGTTTATGTTCTCGCTCATTACATTATCACATAAAAGCCTTAAAAGGAAAAGTTTGATCAGTTTCTGGCATAAAATTTGCCAGTTAGGTAGGTCTTATATATCCCCATATCTAAACATAGTCTATCCCATATATATCCCCATATCTAAACATATTCTATCCCTTATATATCCCAATATCTCAACATAGTCTATCCCTTATATATCCCCATATCTAAATATAGTCTATCCCTTATATATCCCCATATCTCAACATAGTCTATCCCCCATATATCCCAATATCTAAACATATTCTATCCCATATATATCCCCATATCTAAACATAGTCTATCCCTTATATATCCCCATATCTAAATATAGTCTATCCCTTATGTATCCCCATATCTCAACATAGTCTATCGCTTATATATTCCCATATCTAAACATAGTCTATCCCTTATATATCCCCATATCTAAACATAGTCTATCCCTTATATATCCCCATATCTAAACATATTCTATCCCATATATATCCCCATATCTAAACATAGTCTTTCCCTTATATATCCCCATATCTAAACATAGAAACATAGTCTTTCCCTTATATATCCCCATATCTAAACATAGTCTATTTCTTATATATCCCCATATCTAAACATAGTCTTCCCTTATGTATCCCCATATCTCAACATAGCCTATCGCTTATATATTCCCATATCTAAACATAGTCTATACCTTATATATCCCCATATCTAAACATATTCTATCCCATACATATCCCCATATCTAAACATAGTCTTTCCCTTATATATCCCCATATCTAAACATAGAAACATAGTCTTTCCCTTATATATCCCCATATCTAAACATAATCTATCCCTTATGTATCCCCATATCTCAATATAGTCTATCGCTTATATATTCCCATATCTAAACATAGTCTATCCCTTATATATCCCCATATCTCAACATAGTCTATGTCTATTCCTTATATATCCCCATATCTAAACATAGTCTATCCCTTATGTATCCCCATATCTCAACATAGTCTATCGCTTATATATCCCCATATCTAAATATAGTCTATCCCTTATATATCCCCATATCTAAACATATTCTATCCCATACATATCCCCATATCTAAACATAGTCTTTCCCTTATATATCCCCATATCTAAACATAGTCTATCTCTTATATATCCCCATATCTAAACATAGTCTATCCCTTATATATCCCCATATCTCAACATATTCTATCCCTTATATATCCCCATATCCAAACATAGTCTATTCCTTATATATCCCCATATCTAAACATAGTCTATCCCTTAT